TATGTACTAGCAACCTGATCCCCCCAGAGGGCAGCACTCTCCGTTACCGACCCACAGACACACTACCTTTGCCATCTCGGTACTCCTTCCCTGCGTGGCTCAGTGGCCAGGAGCCTCGCATCCTGAGGAAGAGTACACGGGTTGAGACGGGATTCCGGCTGGACAATGCTTCAGTAGCAGAGGAAGCTCCAGAGATACGGGGCGAGCCACGGGGAAAGCCTAGATCCGCCCGTGCCACTCCCGGAGCCGCAGCTTCCCAGAGAAGTCTGCGGACCCGCAGGGAGTGAGCGCACCCTGCACCCAGAGAGAGCGCAGTCGCCCATACCACTTCATCCAGTGTCTAGACCAAAATGTAGACTCAATAGTAATAATAACATTTTCACATAAAAGTATAATTTTTGATAGACATATCGATTTGAAATACTATTCTAAACTCAGTCTCAAATCCACTAACGTCATTTCTACTGTAGTTTCTCTTACATTACAAAATAATTGAGGTAACTTAAAAGTAGTTTTATCAAAGATGAGATCTGAAAAATACTCTGAAGATCTCTTTTGTGTCCCCTATTGCCTTGAATTGTTCCAGAAGCATGATGCTTCACTTGTAGTGACAGTGTCATTTAGTGGGCACACCTGACCAGTTGAGGAGCACAGCATAAGAGCACCTTTGATCCTAACCCCTTCACTTGCTGCCTATGATTTAGGACAACCTTTTTGAATCCCAGTTACCACATCTATGCAGGGCTAACAACCTTTCCTTGTGAGGTTGCTGTGAGCTCTTAAATAGAGAAAGTCAGGACACTGGCTGGCTCAGAGCTCAACACAAATTTTAATTCCCACCACATTTGCAGCTTTGCTATGGTTGTTTTTCATGACCTCTTCTGTAGCCAAACGACCTATAATTAATGTGAGTATTAATCACTTTCCACATTTTTAAACTAATTAGAAACAATTTGAAAACCTTTCCACCAGGCCTTACCTCTTAAAGATCTTACAACTTTTCAACACTAGCACATGGGTGGGGTGTAAAATTTCCAACATACAAGCTTTTTGGAGACTCATTCAAACTGCATTGAAACCACACCACCAAGTTTGTAAAACAACATACAGCCAGATACTTCCAGAGCAAGATATACCACATGTAAAGGAGAGGCTAACCAGCCTACCTGGGGTTACATAGCTCAGTCATAGAATAGAACCACTGGGCACATCGCCAGACTCTAGTTCAGCAAGGTCCCCATCCTCCACATCCACCCCTATGATTTCTTGAACATCTTCTAGCCCTGTAACCAATAAAAAATTTATTTTAGAAAAAGATGATTGTTCTAGGTCCATGTTTTATTATTTGTGCCTACAACATTTCAACAGAAAAGCTTTGGGAAATATTTTAAAGACAAGAGGAAATCATTTCTTCTTTCTTGCCAGGTTCCCTTCTTTTCAAAGTAGGTATACATCCAGTTCTGGTGATTCACCTCAATTGCTTCAGGCATCTTGCTTCTCTAAGTGCTGTGAAGCATTAAACTCAAAGCAAATAAACCACTATAGAGTAAAATATTCTTAAATCAAAATGTCATAAAAAACAGAACATGGGTTTACCCAGCATATCGTCCTGTTTTCTATCACTATAATGAAATACCCAAGGCTAGGTACTTTGAAAAAAAAAGAGTCTTATTTAGCTCACAGTTTGGAGACTTAAAGCCCAAACCTCATTGCCTCTGGTGAGGGTGCTAGTGGAGGATGATGCCAGTGTATGAAATGTATGAAAATGTATGATGATGAAGTGTATGAAAGAGAGAGATTACACAGAAAGACAGGACACCAGAAGGAGTCTGGGACCCCATGAGAATTATGTTGACTTTTTCTCTGGGCATATCTACAATGACCTAACAACTTTACACCAGACCCCATCTCTTAAAGAACTTAACACTTTTCAACTCTAGCACATGGGTGGGGTGTAAAACTTCCAACACGTGAACTTTTAGGAGACTCATTCAAACTATATCCAAACAACAGCACCAAGTTTGGAGAACAACATACAGTCAGATATTTCCGGGGTAAATGCAGTCCATGATATTTCTAGAAAGTGAAGTTGCAATGATATCAAAGAGCAGATTATAAGAGTAACTGCCCTCATTCTTGTTTTTTAATCTAGTGGAATCTGTCAATTGCAAGTCTTCAAAAACATGAGTAAAAGTAACCTCGATAAAGGAAAGCTAAGTGTCTTAGAGTTACTCAGCAATGTGAACGATTTGACAGAGTTTTAGTGTCTAGGTAGATGCTAGGAACTGAGCTCAAAAGGTTTCACACCTGTCTGTCAAAGCCAGAACTGACTGAAACTGGGCATAGGTACTGACATGATAGCTTAGGTTGGTGGACAAGAGAAGAGAGGGTCTTGACAGGAATCCTATCAAGCTGATGCCTGACAAGTGAGGTGTTAGACCACATGAGCAAGTGGATGGCTTTGATAAACTCATAGACAAGAATTTCCTGAGGACAGCAGCACAGGTCATTGCTGAATTACAGTTTTACATCTATGTAAGACGTCTGACGTCTATGTAAGACTTCTTACATCTATGTAAGACTTCTCCTGGAACAAATGTCTTCAAGCTGGCACAAGGAGTCTTAGTCTCAAAAGAGAGGGCCAGGAAGAAGGAAATCGTCTACAGCTTCAACTCCTAGGACAGTGTATGACATAAAATCCATATTGCAGAGTTGTTTCAAAACCCACGATGAGATTCATAAGCACCCCTGTATTATCCTGCTGGTAGGAAATGCATGTTTCACTGAAACTATGTACACATTTTGGTTGTAGCAATGCTGTCTCCTTCCATACAGCTCTAAATTACACATTTCTCATTGTCTTCGGAGCATTTTTGCCATCTGCAAATACTGTAGTGCTCAGGCATGCAGCCTTCATTTGCTGCTTAGCAAACAATGTGTTCTGGAATTGGAGCCAACTGGCAGAACCAGTCACTGAGAACAAGGAATCCTCTGTTTGGGAGCATTTCATCCTTAGATACTAGCACCTTTGTTCAAAAAGAAAATAAAAGGATTCTCCTCATATTTTTAGTGAGAATAAATGATAAGCATGTTTCCTGTGTGGGAGTTGCCTCCCTGGTGAGGTCAGAAAAAAAATCAATGAAAGAAAGAAAGCCGTGAAGGAATCTCAGTAGAGGACAAAGCCTTGGAGAACCAAGTTGGTGTTCTAAAGAGTTTGGTGAGCCAGTTCTCAAATAAACAGATAAATAAATAAATGCTTGGATGCACTCCACTTGCTTATTTTTATTGTGTAAACACTCCCTCCCACTGTGGCTAAATTCTTGTAACTAACAGTTGATAAGTTGATAACAAAGTTCCCACAATTTAGCAATCAGCTCCATGAGCCCATGTGAGCTGGCTTGAGCCAAGAAATGGCAACAGGAGCTGCCAAAATGTTCTCTGGCCAGCGACTAGCTCCCACAGTATGCCTGGGATGATGGCTCCTCCTCCAAATACCAAATACTTGCTTTCTCTAGTGTTTTGGTCTTTTCTTCTTTGAGATATTGTCACTCCATTTTACTTTAGAGAGTTGATATTCATATCCTGTTGGTTGGGAGGAGTTTTTTCCAGTGAGAATTTGGATAAAGAGAAGTGGGCCACCCCTCAAAGTGGCAGGCACCTCTGTTTTCAGATTTCATGATAACAAGTTTTTCCTTTAGTGAGTCCTTGCCACTCTTGGATGGGAGAGGAAAAGAATGTCAATGCCAGCACCTGTCATTTTCACCCAGACCTGGAGTATTACTCCCAGCCTCCCACATCAGACTTTTGACTTTTCTGTGAAATGAATATTCCTCGGCCCTCAGGCACAAAGAAACAAAGCTATTTTCTAAAGTAAGTTAATATCAACCACATATTAAAGACAAAAAGAAAACCAGGAAATGTTTGGCACTAAGAAGTAGCCTTCAGGAAAGATTTTTCCATGTTGTATTTCAATAAAATGGTCATGGGTCTGACTTTCCAGAGAAGGAGGGAAATTGTGTGCCCTTGTGTCTTTTGGCATCTTCTTGCCCTCTGCAGCCAAGGTCAGGCTGTTTTTCATCTTGCTTCATCTCTGCCCTACTTCACTGTCTAATGACCAACCAATCTGAGCTGCAGATGATTATGTTTAACATCATATGTGCTATGAGTGAGTAGTGTGAATTGTGTAACAAAATCTTATTTGGCAAGTATTTCAGTTTGTTGAGTCATAAACCTGACAAGAAGCTACAGCCAGTAACACAGCATTTCCTGAGTCACTGCATGTGAGAAGGAAGTGCGGCTAAAGGTTCATTCAGCACATGGCATACTTGGCACGTCCACCTGAGCCCACAGGCTCAATCTGCAATAGAGATTCCACTCTTCTCAATTCAGCATCGGTTCCCATGAACTCAGTGTAAAGCTCAGGCCTCTGGGACCATATCCCAAGACACCAGATTAGTGATATCTGTTGCTCAGCTTTCTCCTGCTCTGTGAAAGTATGTCCTACCAGGAAATGACAGTAGCAGATAGTCTATTAATCTGTGAGCAAGTTAATGCTGCTTACATGGTAAGTGCTAATTGTGAAATGAATTTCCTGCTATTGAAAGCAGCAGTATCTTAGAGTACGTCAATAAACTATTGTAATTAACTTCGATAATGAAAGAGACTTGCTTAACATCAAACTAAATTAACTGTCTTAGAATAAAGAAGAAGACTGCATTAGGATCTTAAACTACCAAAAAATATGGATTTCTCCTTTTATAAGTTTTCAAGGATTCTTTGAGGAAACACTCATTACAAGACTATTTGTTTTTCTCTAATGATGTCATGTTGTAACATGTTATTAAAAACTGAGTATGATTAAATGATATTTTATTAATTGCTCAAGAAATTATGCCTCAAAGAAAAAAGAACTTTTCGCCCTGTGTATGACTTCCTCATCTCAAGTTTCAAGCAATGAGTTGTTTCCTATAGATTCCGTTTCAAAGTGGGTAATAATTTTCTCATTTTAAAATTGGGGAAGCTGATCTCAGATTATCCCGGGGAACTTGCCAAAAGTTAGTACAATGTGTAAGAAGAAGAGGAAATCTAGCTAATTCCCAACCTCTTAACTTTTATGCTACATTTTAGGCAAATGACATGTAAATAATTCTGTCTCCAAACTACCAGCACATGAACTTAATCTTGAAGAACAGGGATTTGCCTGATGTTCAAGGGACAGTCACAACTGCAATGAGAAGGCAAGCACCTGAAGCCTGAGAAGCATTGCACTGTTAAATTTGCTATTCTGTGCGTATGGACTATGTGTAAGGGATTGGTATAACATTTTATAAAGGCTGGACAATCATTCCTCAAAGAGTTTAACCCCTCTTATGAGCTTTCTCTTTAAATTTAAAAAAAATCTTAGTGCCACAGAAGTATTATCTTAAAATTTTGATGACATCATCCATCTCTATACAAGCATTCAAAGATTTTCTGCTGTACACAGTATGACTCAAGCCTCTTAATATGGTACATGCATTGTTCTCTTAATCTGTGAAATGGGTATATGTTCAGTATATGTTCAGAAATAGTTACTATCATAGCTATTTAGTTATGTGTATAGTTACACATATACACAACTTCAGAACTGTCTGGTTATAAAAAATATACAAAAGTGTAAGTTTTACTAAATGACACTGATAATATGTGTAGCTGTCATGTTATCATTATAAACAGTCTGATTGATTGAATAAGATATCTATTGAAGATGGTGTGTCAAAATAAGCAAAGAACACTGAAGTTGACATAAAGTATTTTAATTGAATTTTTAAAATTATGTGTGTGTGTATGTGTGCAAGTAACCTGAAAAGGCCAGAAGAGGGTATCAGATTCCCTGGAGTTAATGGGTGCTGGTAATGAAATTCTGCTCCTTTGAAGGAGCAGCAAGTGCTCTTAGCTGTTGAGCCATCTCTATGGCCTCACAATTGACTTCTTTGTTCCAGAGCTGAGGACAGAACCCAGGGTCTTTCACTTGCTAGGCAAGCGCTCTACCACTGAGCTAAATCCCCAACCCCCTTGACTTTGTTTTTTTTAATCAACATGGTAGGAAGTAGGGAACAGTGGTAATGTATGATGATTTTCTTTTCTTTTCTTCTCAAGTAACATCCTTAATTGGACATAAATAAATGGATATGGCCCAAATGACCGAAAGACCCAAACAAAATTTGCTAAATCGACCAATGCAGGTGCCATGTTACTCCTTCAACTCTGCTGAGAACAACATAACACCTCCTCCCTTATCAGCAAGTGCATCAGGAGCAAGCACTCCTGCTTTGCCAGGAAAAGCCCAGATTGTTCAGCAATTTACTGTAGCTCTCTGCTGTGCAAACTTTCAGGGACTGATGAAATCAGAATGGAATGTACTTCAATTTCCTATTTTTTTTCTTCCTGACTGGAAATATTCAGCAGAAAAAATCCACACAATAGGAACTTAGTTTAGAGTTGCAGCCTTGGTTAATGGCACAAAATTACTGAAGGGATGTTTTGGTTTCCAGATTGTTCTTTCCTTCATCTTCTACCTCAAGTGATTAGTGTTATACATTTGCTCATAAAACACAAAAGTGTCACAACAATAATATTTAAATGAACAATGTGTGATGCATAGTGATATAATTCAAAAACAATTCTAGCCTATTTCAATTCATTATGTCTAAAGATTGATTATAACCCACAAAACTTATTTTATGACCCATTAACGTGGACCATGACTCATGGTTATAGTTTTGCTTTGGATTCTTGATGACAGAGCTGAGCTTTATCAGTATGTATTGAGATCCCCTCTTTCTCTTCTGCAATACTTTGAGCGCTAGTATAGATAACATAGGCAAGGTAGACGGCTCACATGCCTTCTGAATTCAGTCTGAATATCAGCTTCTTATCTGCTGTTGCAAGTCTCTGAGAATGTCACCGTGTGAAGCATTTGATATTGCAATGGCACAATAAGCAAGGGAGTGTCCTAGTCCATTTTCCATTGCTATAACGGAATATGACAGGCTGAGTAACATATAGTGAAGAAACCTTACCTCTTACAGTTCTGGAAGCTGGCAAGTCCAAGAGCATGGTGCTGATGAGGCACATCATAACATGGTGAAGGGACAAGTGAGGCCGAGAGAAAGAAAAAATGGCTCAGCTCATCCTTTTATGAGGAACCTATGCCTACGAGAACCAGCCCACTTCTAATATAACAGTGTTAATCCATTCATGAGGGTGGAGCCTTCATGACTTAATCACCTTTCAATGGCCTCACCTCTTAACAATGTTACAGAGACAATTAGATTTCAAAAGGAGCTTTGAAGAAGACCTGCAGACTCTAGCAGAATGGATCTAGGCCGCTGTAGCCATGTAGTTACTACTGTCACATACACATTTCTGTGTAGGTTGCTAGAACAAACTATGTAGGGTTTTTTTAATGCATTATTTTAAAGAAGGAAATAAAAATCACCTAAAATAAACTGCGTAGACTTGATTCTTTAGCCCAGCCTTTCCTTCTAGTCACTGTGATTTTCAACCAGAGAGAGAGTCTTTTCAAGCCTAGAAGCCGAGTCAGTCTTCTATCTGAACTCCTTGGAACTCTGTATTTGAGCTGAATTTCAGTTTCCTTCTTTGCGGAATAAGGAGACTAGTATTTACCCCCTAGCTCTCTTGGAATTGTTAAAAACGGCACTGTGAAAATCCTAGGCACTACCTAGATCATGACTAGAAATCCAGTAAGTAAATATTCCTTCCTTTCCCTTGGCTTGGTGTTTTACCCCAAAGCACATATTTAAATCAGAAGTAGCCCTAATCACTGAACAAAGAACCCACTAAGGAACCACAGGCCAGCAAAATTTTTTCTTCAGCTTAAGGTTCAGAGCTACAGTCAGTAAAGAAAAATTAGCACAATGAGTACAAATGCATTTCACACAAAATCAGAAAGTAAAAGCCCGGAAATCATGGCAAACACTGCTTTTGTAATTCTCTGAAGTACTAATGACAGCTGGAACAGAAGCCATCCTAACTCTTTCTTTAGTGAAAAAAGGAGAAACGTGGTACGTAACCTGTCAATTTATTTCTTCACTGGACATGACACACCAGGAGATTGATTGTACCACCATCCAGTTGTGTGTGGGTGGCAGCAAAACTTGGAGACACAGGAGTCCCCAGGTCTAAACAGAGTTAGCACTAAGAAGCCTTAATTACCAACTAGTTGGCTAGTCCCGCTCTACTATGTAATTCCACAGTACCACACGCCAACCTTATCAGATCTGTTTCTACAACTGTTGCAATTATTTATTTTTCTAATCCATTCCTCTAGAAGAGCAAGCTTTATTCTGATTTAGCTTGCATATAAGAAAATACTGTCACACAGTAGATGTCAAAAATATTTTGTGTTACTTGTAGGAAGGAAAACAATGTGGCTTATAGGAAAGATTTTAGTAAGGACATTCATTTACTAAGAATTAACTTGGAAGGCCAATACCACTAATTATCTTATTGAAGGGAGATGGGGGCTACCCTTGAGTAGGTGTGTATAACTCAGGAGTCAGTGGTTCTAAGTCCTTGTCTCAAGAATTCCAAGAACAAATTTCATGGATAAACAAAGGGTGAGTTTTAAGGAGTTTTATTATAGAATGAAAGCTTAAAGAAGAAAGATTAAAAATTTATGGTAGAAAGCAGAACTCCAGAGACCAGGCAAAGCTCCTGTGAGCCTTCCAAGAGAAAGAAAAACCCACTGAGCTGGTTGTCTAGGGGCTTTTTATAGGACTTATGGCAGAAACTGGACAAAGACTGAAGTAATTTCTGTTGCAATTGGTTAGTTATCCAGGCTATCATGGGCAGAGCCTACCCTCACTCTATTCATGTCCCTCTGGCCCAAACAGGGAGATGATCATATACTGTTCATGTGCTGCCCATCCAGTTAGGGTTAGAGTCCCAGTTTGTCCATCTCTGGCCTCTGCTTTGTTAGCTCTTGGCTTTTGACTGTCTGCTAGCTGTTAAGTCCTGACCAGCATGGTTATTTTCAACCTTTCAGTTGTGGTTGTTAATTAAACTATGTTGTTTTTGTTCTCACAATTACATGATCAGCATGTAGTTTTACCATGCAGGGAGTTAATTCCTATGACAGCTATCAAGATGTAACTGCAGCCTCCCTTGGCTACCTTATCCAGCTCCTTCTCCACTGGGCAGTTTAGAGTGGTTTCTCTGAAACAAGTGGAAGCTTCTTGTTAGAAGCCTTTGCCCACAATTTAGTCTGTTACAATGAGCTACGTTTAAGTAAGAATATATGAAAGGGAACAGTGTCTTGCACATGTTCCTCAAGAAAGGGGCCTTCTGAGGAGCCAGAGGTCCTGTAGACCTACTCAGAGCCCCAACTCTCTTATCTCCTCTGCTCAGCTGAAAGCCCATCCCTAGTGTTCCCCACCATACCATGTTTTAATGCTAACATGTCCTTTTAACCCTCACATCCATTCACGCTGCATTATTATTACTGTTTTAACCTGGTTTTCGTCTCTCTTAAAGAAGTTTGCATATTCAGTTCTCACCTCTTACATCAGCAGCAGCAGGAGAATTATTGATCTTTCCCGAACATCTGAGAACTTTTGGGAATCTGTCAAGAATTCTCTTCAGCTAGTCACCCACACTCTCCAATCACCCTTGCAAAGTGTGATCGACAAATATTATGTAATTTTATACGTATGTATGTAATATGGGCTTTCCATATATGATGCATAATTGAGCCTTCTTCCTCTTCTTCTCTAGCATGTTTACCACCCAGCTTCCTAACAGGGTCTCATGATTCTTTAACCTCCTCGTCTTCAGAACTTTCATGAAGTAGATGACACACTAGCTCAGTCTCTAAAAAGAAGAACCCCACCTTTGACATTATCTCCAGAAAATGCCACATCCAAGAACACAGACCCTGGAAGGTCCTTTCCGTAAACTGTTACGCATAACCTTCTGTCTTTCTCGCTGTTCTCACAGATTTATGTTAAACATATTCAGCACTGAACACTCATATTCCTTCAGACACTCAACAAGTCTCCAAGGTGGTATCTTCTCTTGTTTTACTTGCCTCCTAGCCCAGGCTGGACACACAGCAAATCAGTTCTACAAGCTTTTTTCTCTGTAGTTTATTCCAGGCTCGTTCTTAACCTTTACTCATTATCATCATCTTTATCCTATTTCTGGCACCATGCTTTAAAATATTGTTGAAAAAAATGAAACTTTGTGAATTAATATCAATATTGTAAGATACAATTTTATAATATGCTATCATACCTTCTGATCCTAGTGGAGCCATCTGATATTTGGCAATTCTTTGGTTCATTAATGTCCACTACCTTTGGACTTTCAGAACCATTCTGCCAAATCCTAGGCCCTCCTCTGGAGCACACAGCTTCTTCATTGGCCTTGATCACTCAGTAACTAATCTGCCCTCCTTCTTTAGTATAATAATCCTTAAACTCTCCTCCCTTCACCTGAATTTCTATGGATATTCTTTTTTCCTACTTTTTTCTTTTTTTATTGTTTTTTGTTTTTGAGACAGTCTCCTTGTAGCCCCAACTGGCCCAAAACTTACTATGTAAACCAGGCTGGCCTCAATCTCACAGAGATTCACCTGTCTCTGCCTCCTGAGAGCTAAGATTAAAGGTATGTGCCACCATGCTTGGCTTTTTAAAAAAATATTTTATTATTTTTATTTTATTTGTATAAGTATTGTCTGCATGTAGGTAAGTACACCCATGTCGTGCAATGCCTGCGGAGGACAGAAGAGACTATTGGACCCCTGGAACTGAAGTTACAGATGGTTGTTAGCTGTCATGTGGGTGCTGGGATTCGAACCTGGGTCTTCTGCCAGAAAAACCAGTGTTCTTAACTGCTGAGCCATCTCTACAGCCCCTTTTTCTTCTTTTTTATAATGAAAAAAAAAAAACATTTTAACCCATGTGCCAAATATAAACTGTCAATAAAACCAACCAACCTTAACAAAATAATTTGATACTCACACTCTTCACTTTTATTTTTTTGCACACTTTTTATTGTGACAAAATGCTAATATCATAAAATATGTAGCAATAAACGTGCATTTTGATGATGTTATTTACATTCTTACTGTATAGCCATCACCACCATCCATTTCCAGAACACATACTATTTATTTTCTTATGCTGGTTTCATAAAATTTCAACTACTTGAAAACCATGCTTTAATAAGCCAGGTATCAAGAGGTGCTTTCCTCTTGTAAAACTGATACTCTATATCTATTCAATAACTTTCAGGACTGGGGAAATAGCTCAGGGGGTAAGGTCCTTGCTGTGCAAGCATGAAAACCTGATTTCCCAAGCCAGAGTAACTGCGTGCACATGTCTTCAATTCCAGAACTGGGGAGGCAGGGATGGGCATATCCTGGGGGGTCTCACTGGCCAGCCAGTCTAGCTAAAGCAATGAGGTTCAATGAGAGACACTGTCTCAAAATAAGGGAGAGCGGCAGTTGAGAAAAATATCCCACATTAACCTCTGGCCTCCACATGCACTTGCACAGGCAAGCACACTGGCACACACAAACATGCACACATGCATACACCCAGCACACACAACTACTACTACTAGTAATAATAATAATAATAATAATAATAACTTGCTACTCTCTCCCCTAAGCAACCTCTATCGCATCTCCTATATCTGTCCTACTCCTTTTACTGATTGGAATGTCTAAAAAAAAAATCTTTAGTTTTAAAAAATTTTAATTTGTTAACAATTTGAAATGTTTTTCATTTGTTAACAATATTTTCAATCTCCTTTACCTTCAAGCATACATTACAAATGTTGATTGATTTTATTTTTATAATAATCCTATGAAGATTGCTTTTAAGGCTTAAAAAGGAGTAGATATACTTAAGTTGACAGGAAATTGGTAGGAAGCTAAATAGATTTCAAAAAAACAAACAAAATAGGCACAAATTTTTTTAATAAGGAGTTGTCTGGCCCAAGACAAATAGAATAAACTATATGCCTGACTTTCTTTCTCAGATCTAGGCTTGAGTAATGCCATGACTATTCCCTACCCTAGCAATCCATAGACCTCCTTCTTAGCCTTCTCTATACACCCAATAACACCACCACCATCACCCACACCCCCAGCCGCACATACTATTTATTTTCTTATGTTGGTTTGATAAGATTTCAACTACTTATACCCAAACAATGCTTAATTAAGCCAAGTATCACCATGTCAATGAGCATTTTATAACACCATGACAGTCTATATGAGATAAAGTGTAAAGAATGATTATAGACACATACAAGGATTATGGAATATCTCCTTCAAAACTCATGTAATAGTTTTGGAATAAAGGAAGAAAAAGAAACAGAAGCTTGAACCTCACCTTGGTGTCTGTGTCGTCTTTCCTGGACTCTGCTGGACAGAGTCCCGGCTCGCGACACCCAGCCGCACATACTATTTATTTTCTTATGTTGGTTTGATAAGATTTCAACTACTTATACCCAAACAATGCTTAATTAAGCCAAGTATCACCATGTCAATGAGCATTTTATAACACCATGACAGTCTATATGAGATAAAGTGTAAAGAATGATTATAGACACATACAAGGATTATGGAATATCTCCTTCAAAACTCATGTAATAGTTTTGTTATTATTATAATGGTGCTAAGAAGCAGGACTTTTAATGGGTAATTAAATACAGAGGGTTCTGATGTCACAGAGGAATTGAAACCATTAGTGGGAAGTCTATTATTTACAGCCAGAACATACGACAAAAAAGTTGAGTTTAGGATCAAAAGTTCCAAAAATATCCTATGCCTGTAAGTCCTGATGCTTTCCCCTGTGCCTACTCAGTTCTTATCTCATGAGTGCAAGTGCCTGCTGAGTGAGGCCAGAGACATCTGATCTCCCTAGAGTTGGGGATACAGGTGATTGGAAGTCACCCAGTATGAGAACCGAACTCAGGTTCTACAAGAGCAGTATGCGCCCTTGACTGTTAAGCCATCTGCTCACCCTCAACGAACTTCTGTTTTAGTAATGACTTCATGAGTTATTGCATTAATTTACAACTTGAACATACAACAGATACAAGAGTGGCATTCAGCACAAGTTAAAACAAGGGGGAATCTGCTTATCATGGTACTTCTCATAACATTGCTGCTCTTGAAAAAAAAATCTTGAAGCATCGATTTGGTGTGTGGTGAAGAACTCTTCTTTGTAGATGACCACCACATTCTTGCTATGTCTTTGGGGAAAGAGAGAGTACTAAGACTAAGCACAGGCAGGTCTCTGGTCTCTTATAGGGGCACTAATCCCAATGCAAGTAGCCCACCCTCACAACCTCATCTACATCTACTATCTCCTCAAGGCTCCACCTCCTAATACCATGTCAATGGAGATTACAGCTTTAGCATATGGAGGGGGAGGATCATTCAGTCCATTTACAATGACTCTTTAAAGCACCCTCTCTACTTCATTGGTTCAAAAAGTATTTTCAGAACACTTAGTAAGTACCAATGTTTTACAAGTGCTGACATTTTTACTATGAGGCAAGCACTCCCAGTAGTTCTCTCTCTCTCTCTCTTTTTTTTTCTGGTCTTTTTGAGACAGGGTCTCCCTGTATCCCCAGCTGTCTTGGAACTCACTATGTAGACCAGGCTAGCCTTGAACTCACAGAGATCTGCCTGCTTCTGCCTGCCAAGTGCTGGGATTAAAGGCATGCACCACCACACTGGCCTTGGTTCTCTTTTATACAGGAGAAACAAGCAAAGAGGTTGGATACTGCCAGCAGCCATGCCAGGGTAAGTGGTGTAGCTGAAATTTCAGCCCTGAAAGCCTTATCAAGGTATATACAGAGTCTAGGGAACACCCAGGGCCACAGGCAAAGGGCTTCCTGCACCAGATGCTTCCCTCCCCTTCTCATAGACGTACAGCATAGTCCACACTTCCACCAGTTCTGCATCCCCTCTGGAATAGATGGTGATCACCTAGGTTCTACAGGTAAAGACCCCCACCCCAGGCACATTGAGACTGATGGTGACGAGCAAACTACCCAGTGTGAAGGCTTCAGTTAAATAGATTTAGTAATGCTTTCAATGGAGAGCTCAAAAAAGTGTCAGCAATCGTCTAACAAGTATGGTGTGATGGTTCATGCCTATAGCCTTCCATCCTAGGCTACATCAGAGTCTCTCTCAAAAAAGAAGTTTTAAGAAGGAACCAATTCTACAATGTAGGTAAATTCAGATGACACAGAAATGGAATTATACCAGTAACCCACCTAGTATTTATATCTTTTACAAAGTCTTAGCTGTCTTCATTTAAATACATGCTTTGTGGTATTCAGGGCCTTTTTGATCCAGGGACCTCCTTATCCCAATACGAGCCCTCACAGCTCCCCAGTGGGCTTTCCTAAATCAAAACAAAACATGACCTGCAGACAACAGGCTGGTGATGCTTTGGGAACCACTAGAGTTTGGGAAGTTCCTAAGTTTAAAAGAGAGGACAAATGGGAGAATACAGCACTGTGTTCTAAAATAAACACTGAGCTAACCCTGGCAATGATTATTCTCCTGGCCCTCCTCCCATGCCCTGCTGCAGAAAAAAGCAGCTCAAAAGTAATTTATTTGGTATCACAAAAGAGTAGGGAAAAGAAAATCATTCTCACGTGTATTTTTAAAGACCCTGTTTCTTTCAGACATGAACGAAATCTGCAAAGCTCAAAAGACAAGAGAAGCAGTGATTCGCATTATCACTGTGAATCCCAACTGTGGAGCCAGGCTTGGCGCATCCCCCACGTGACCCACCGCCACGCCTGCCGCTGGGGTCACTGGGCGCCCACAGTCCCCTGGCAGCACTTACTCCTTTTCCTTTGGGGACTTTGGGCCAGAAAGCAAAAATTCCAGAATGCCATACCCTGGGTTTGGGCAGGAAGACAAAGTTGTCCCCAGTCCAATCAGCACGAGGGCGGAGCAGAGTCCTTTTTCCGGCCCTGGGGAAACACCCTGAACTCCGGGAATTTCCCTGGCCCGGGACTCCGGCGTTTCCCGCCACCGTGCATAAAAGGGGCTCGCTGGGCACAGGGAGCCACAGATCGCACTCAGAGCCTCTCATCAATCAGCTCGCGTATTCCAGGCTCCCGAGACCCTCCTGCCCAGCATCATGGTCCACGCCGCCCATGCCCCGCTCCTGCGCTCCGCGCTGCTGCTGCTGCTACTCCTGCTGACCACCGGCCAGACCACAGGTGAGACCCGTGCCCTGCCATCCGCTGAACGAGGCTCCAAGAGCTCCAGCGCACAGCCCCGCTAACCCAGTGTCTTCTTCCATAGGGGCTCCCGCAGCCACCGAGCTGCGTTGCCAGTGCCTGCAGACCATGCAAGGTATTCACCTCAAGAACATCCAGAGCGTGAAGGTGACTACCCCGGGAGCCCACTGCAGCCAGACAGAAGTCATGTGAGTGCCTCCCACACCCCTGAAACCACAGTCATCCCCACCTTCCTGCTGCCTCCACCTCACCCCAGCCAGACCTCCTGCCTAATACCTGTACCCCCTTCTCTCTGCAGAGCCACTCTCAAAAATGGGCGCGAAGCTTGCCTTAACCCTGAAGCCCCCATGGTTCAGAAGATCATCCAGAAGATGCTGAAAACGTGAGTTGTGCCTCCTTTGTAGTTTGTGACTGGAGGTCTGTGGATTAGAGTACTGGCATGTGACTTCTGAAAACTGTATCAGGGAAACTCAAAGTTATAGGACTAGAAACCATAATTATTATTCTTATAGTTAACCTTGTCTTGAGGTCGTTAATTGGCTCTCATGCCAGTTTTTGGCCATCTCCACATTCTAAACCCCAGCTCAAATGAATGGTGGCAGTGTATCCCTAACATATGAAGGAGAATCGGCCAGTGATTATAAAGTGTTAAGGGGCTGGAAAACTGAATTCCTGGCAAAATACACCAGGAGTCTTCGAGGTGGACAGAGCTGTTTGCAGTGAGATTTTTCCCAAGTTCAAGGCTAAGTTCTCTGAGACTGTTACTTTCTTGAACTTCAGCAAAGTAGAAGACAGATAGGGTTGTGTGTGTGATTTAAGGTCATTCAAATAAAATTTTAACCCATTGTGACAGTCAGTGAGTAATGTATTTTGGCTCTTTCAAACCAATAATACAGCCTACTGCACAGCACAGTTTTTCAATTCAAATATTCAGGAGCCCAAGCTTTCAGCTGTACACAATGCAGGGGTGGCCATGCAGAAATCCCAATAGAGCCTCGGGGACTGGAGTTAAAGAAGAGCAGATTTGATCAGTACCTGTAACAGTCACCCTTTCTCACTGCAGGGGCAGCCCCAACTGACCTGGGAAGAAGTAAGAAGATTGTCCTGGTGGCTCCTGCTAGGTGGAAAGAATGACCATTTCCCGGCAATCCTACCTAAACACTTTTGACTGTTTCTTAAGAGAGTTCTATTTATTTATGTATGTATTTATTTATTTTATAAAGCCTGTGTTTTTATTATTTTACATTAGTATTTAAAGTTGTGGATATGTTTCATCAAAGGTAGCTTTGTCATAATTGTTTAGTTGAAGATGGTGGACTTAAAATGTCTCATTTAACTAATATTTATTGGGAGATCTTTATTGTCTGATCACTGTGATACAAGTGTGTGGGGTGGGTATCCACGAAGCTAGACTAGAATGTATGAGCATGTTATATGTTAGGGTAAGGGAATGTGTGGACATCTATTTTTGTACTTTTTGAAAAGAATGTCAATTATTTATTGAAAGTCTTTCATATTGTATGTCAACATTGATATGTTGAAGCTTCCCTTGGACATTTTATGTCTTGGCTGTAGGGCATAATGCCCTTTTATATTAGATATGCAATGTTCTCTGTCTTAGAGCAGAGGTCTTGTGACCATTACATTTTTACAAATGAAGTGAAAATAAAAGCTTTACCCAAAAATGGCATGCATATTTTTGTTTTGTTCCTTTTGGTGTCTACGGGTTATAGTTAACGCTGTACCTGTGCCTGGCTGACATGTCTCATGACTTTCACTAACTTGAGAAAGAGTAGTTGATACTCCTAGAAAGTACATATTACTCTCGCTCACTTACCTAATAATTCTAGTTTTGTTTAAAACATTGCTTTTTCCCACACTGACCAGTTTTCTACTCAAAAGTAGCTCTTTTCAAAAAATGTTTTTTGTTGTTCTTTATTTTATTTTCAAGAGAGGGTTCATGCCATATTGCTGAGCCTGGCTTTCAACTCAGCATTCCTAATCCAGCCTCGCTACTTGCTGGAACTGTAGGTGCACAGGTACATGAAAAGCCACACCTGGCTCCAAATGAGCCAGACTTCTGAATTCTTACAAGCATTTTAATAAGGATTCTTTTTCAATCATTTTGATAAGTTTTTTTCAAAAAATTGTGTAGTTATCTTTCCTGTTTAATGAAGTTGGCATCATGAAGTGGCAAAATGGATTCTTTCTAAGAACTTAAGAAAAAGAACTGTTATTAAACAAGCTAGTAATGGAGTTGGAAGGAGGGCTCAGCTGTTCAAAGCACTGGCTGCTCTGGCAGAAGACCTGGATTCAGTTCCCAGCACCCACATGGCAGCTAACTCCAGCTCCAGGAGATCCAGTGCCCTTTTTGGGGCTCTGTGGGCACTGCATACACATGGCACACATACAGGAAAACATTCATACACATGAAATAAAAAGCTAATAACAATAACAGCTTACACAGATGGGTACACGCTTTAAAGCAAAATGTGATTTTAAAAAAGCAGAAAGGATAGCTAAAGAGATATGTGGATTTAGAATAAAACAAGTTTCAACAATTGTTTTTTAAAAGAATTAAGAAAAATTGTAATGAAGCAAAAATACACATTAAGGTAACTAGGCAACCCTGGAAAATGAAATAGAAAATTTCGGCGCTAATAGATCTTAAAGGAAGATAAAAGTAGTCTTACCTTAATAGTGCAAGTAAAAGACTAAAAGGAATAACAGCATAAAAAGTGACTGGGAGGCAGAGGACTTCCCAAGGCCCTACCCAGGTGACCGTGAGCTGGAATGGAAATTTGCTTTCAAAGGAATAAGAAAAGGGGAACATAAAAGTATTGCATTGGGGAAAGTTTGCAAGCATAAACCCAACCAAGTGATCAAAACTATTATCAGAAGTCAAGGCATGTGAATGGCTATGATGTAGCCTTTGACAGACTGTGACCGGAAGGGGAGGGTTCTTAACCACCTTTATACTTGGCTACAAAATCCAGAATATGTATGCATAAGAAAAAGCATAACAATTCAAACTTGATGAACATTCCTCAAAATACCCAACAAGTACTTTTGGAAATTTGCCCAGGTTAGGGAAAATCAGATACCCTCAAAACCTGTTACAATCAGATGAGACAAGGACGTGAGAACTAAATTAAATGTGTGCACTAGATTGGATCCCAGAATAGAAAAAGACATTAACAGAAAACTGGTGAAATTTCATAAAGATGTAAGTTTAGTGAACAGCAATGCACCAGTGTCAATTTCTCAGGTTTGACAAATACACTATTAGTATGTAGCATGTCAGCAGTAGCTATAGAATGAGAAGTTAGATACTGGGACTTTTCCACATACAAATATTTTCTAATTCTAAAAGTATTCTAAGCTTAAATTTCAAAGTTTAAACTTGATTTTGACCCTAGATAGCATGAAATTAGAAGACTTAAAAAGAGCCTGGTGTGGTGGCCCGCGCCTTTAATCCCAGCACTCGGGAGGCAGAGGCCAATGGATCTCTATGAGATTGAGGCTAGCTTGGTTTACATAGCAAGTTCCAGGCCAATAGTCACTACAGGGAGACTCTGTGTCCAAAAGACCAAAAAAGTGTTATATCATGCAAAAAGCTAACTTAAATAAACCCAGTATATTTATATTAAGAACTTATTGAAAACCACAAATGTATTATCAATACATTTAGGAATACTCTATCTATTAGTGCACTTATTGAAACAGGTAGTCTTAGAGTGAAAGAAATCTGAGTCAAAACATGTGGACAATTATAGTAAAGACAAAGAAATCCTTAAATTTTACAAATAATATATTATTAAAATGGTAGTAGACAAATCAGCATTCATAGTTAAAGATTTTTTGTGCCTGGCATGATGGTGGCATGTGCCTGTAATCCCAGTACTTGGAGGATCAGGAGTTAAGATTTGCCTAGGTTGCACAGTGAGTTAGAAGCCAGCATGGGTTACATGAAATTCTGTCCAAAAAAATTGCATTGGTTTTGAGACAGGGTCACTATGTAGCCCATGCTGTCCTTGAATACTTGATCCTTCTACCTCAGCCTCTCAAGTTTTGGCATTACAGTCCTGTGTCACCATGCTGATTTCCCATAGTTGAGGATTAAATGACTCAGTAACTAATAAGTAAGATTCTGAATAGTAATAATATGGAAGAATTCAAAAACATAACCAAGTTGGCTTGACTGACATCTATAGATAACTCATTGCAACCACATAAAAGGCATTTCCTTTCCAGTGCAAAGGAAGTGTTTCCTAAAAGATACTGCATATTGGCCTTGAAGGATGTATCAAAAGCTGAACGCACTGAAACATTATAGAGAACATGTTCCGATCATCACTTTTGGTGATTTGTAATTTTCCTAGCTGAAATAAACAAATCCATACACTATGCATGATGTTTGCTGTGGTTAATAACTCATTCCTCAACTTCCTAAATTTGATTTCATAATATGAGTCATAATGCTTTTGTCACTTGTATTGTAAACATCTAACATGATAAAAACATTTCCATGGAGATATGTCCTCATTCCATGCAGTTATTTCAGACATAGTTCTGTAAATTTTGGCATCCGAGTATTTCTTAGATTACATTACATGAATATAATACAATTTAATTACATGATACTACCACAAAAGGTTTTAAGAAATCTTAAGAAAATGAAAATCCAAAGTTTGTATTAAAATCTATTGTTAAAAAGAACCTAGAATAACCTCCAAATCTATTACATAGTTTTCTTATTAATTAAAATGAATTTAAATAATTACAGATAACAGAAAGCATCAGGGTGTCCTTACTATGGGAATTAAAGACTAGCTATGGTGATAAAGTATCTTATATATTAATAACTCCTCCTTTTCTGTTTTACTGTATCTGTTATTAATCTTTTGCAAAACCAGTCACTGATCCCTTATATGTTCTATGTATCTCATCAATGTCTTTTGATTCTAATTTTCACCATCCTCTCATTTGGGTACATAACTCGAACCTGAAAGCTTCCCAGCCTTCCCACCCACCTCATGGTAGACAGTCAATAAAGTTCACAGTATGCCTTCTGCGTGTAGACCATGGAAACACCTTCAGACACAAGCTGTGGCTTCCCAGTGAAAGCAATATCCAAACCAATTGACAGATAGAATCCTATAGACCCACAGCTCCTCTGTCCCTGCACACAGGGGTACCCCAATGGCATTAGTCACCTGAATTTGCTGCTTCTACTATTCCTCTGCACCTCCCAAACATCCTTTGCTCCAGATGGTTTCAATCTCTTGGAATTAAACCATTTACTTGGAAAACTCTTCATTGTTTAAAACTCACATAGGTGACCATATCCTCCTGGAAAACATTTTGGATAGCACTCACAAATCTACAGTGAGAGAGTTTATTAGGTATAGCTTTTCTTCAAATACTACCTTGTGTGTAGCTCACTGTGGCATTTACTGACTTTCATGCCATTTGCCTCACATATTTCCCCTATTGCATTTTGAGTTCAAGGGTAGCAGGGTCTGTCTTAATCCTCTGGGTATCTACGGTCTGACTTTATAAATGCTGGGAAAATGCATTGTTAATGCAAATGCTGAAACAAATAGAGGAAGGAATTTAAAATCCAGCATTTGTGCCTCTAGTTAGAAAATCTATCAGTAAAGTCGGTAACAAAAATCCAGGTTAAACTGACAATGAAAACCAGAGAAGCTGGAGAGATGGTCAGCAGTTAAGAGCACTGGCTGTTCTTGCAGAGGACCAGGGTTCAGTTTCCAGCACTCACATTTTGGCTAATGACTGTAACTCCAGTTCCAGGGAATCCAGGACTCTCTTCTGACCTTCCAGGCATTGCACGACACTGGTGCACTTACATACATACAGACAATAGGCTTACACACATAAAATAAAAGTAATAAATAAAAATTACAAAAGAAAAACCATAATCATTTCATCTCCCTATGACACTAAAAGACTGATGACTAGGTGAAAGAAAGCTGTATCCCCGAGTTCAGAGATTTTCTTGCATGACTGTCCTTACCCCAGGCGGTGGGTGCTGCTTTTCTTCCTGCTGGTTTCAAGCAGCCTCTCTCAAGCTCTGGCAAGGCTCCAAGATTCTGTCCTGCCAGCTGCAACCCAGCAGGAAGTAAGGGTTTGTTTTCAAATTATTTCCTGATGAAAAAGACTCCAGTGAAGTTTTCTGGTTTGGACAAGGTTAGGTCACTTGCCCACCCTTGAACTTAACGAGGTGTCTCAAGGTCAGACCCAGGCAAGAAAGACAAAGTGGGATAGTTCACTCCTGGAGCTGTGGGAACTGGGAAGAAGGACAACTGGAAAAAAAAAAAAAAGGAAACCAGAGTTCAGGCTTCCAAAGGAAGTTAGGATTCTGTAATCAAAAGTTGAGAGGGAGAGCCTCAAACCAGGCAGAAATGACAAATATACCAAAGATGGGACTAATGAATACTTTGGACTGAAAGAACTAGTGGGTCCAGGGATGTAATGCAACACAGACTCTTCATTCTCCTCTCAAAGCCAAATTCCGTCATTATACTAGAAGTACTAACTGCAACAAAGGAGGGTTGGCAGTTGAAACTGCTTGATTCCTGGAGGCAAGTGGGAGAGCAACACTGTCCACTGCCCATTCCCACTGCTCTATCCTTGCTCAGCATGAGCACAGCTCCAGAT